TGAACATTGGCTGCTTTCCAACCAGCACTCTCCGAGCTCTCGGCATGCATAGGTTTCGTCTTAGCGATCGGTGTCTCGAAGCCGAAATCGAAGAGCATCGTACTGCAACAGAGCCGGCCACCCCATGCCCCGTGGACAACAGATGCCATGCACCTATGCTTCCCGTCCAGCAAAGTGCTCACATAGGATGGGCACTTTCCGGTTGGTTGCAGTCGCCATCAAGAGCGCAAGTCTACCAGCCGGACACCAGAAGACTTCTCAAGTCAAGAGGGTCCCCGTGACTCTATGACTGCATGGTTGTGCAGCTAGTTAGAAACCGTTTGAGATGCGGCAACCGCTTAGTAAAGGGAACAGCCGTCAGGTTTTGGCCGCAGAGCCTCGCACGCAAAGTCCCGCTGCCTTCCGTTAGTAAGGGGTATATAGTTAGCAGTTAGAACGGGTACTAAAGCTGCAGTAGAAAGGCACCAACCCCCTACCTAGCCACTTACACCGCAAGTTAAAGCCTGAATACAATGAGCTTCGATTCCGAATCCTTGAAGCCCGCACTTCGCCGTGATCTTAAGTTCACCTCCCAAGCCACACAGTGTCAGGCTCACGTACCCCTGACCGCCGAATAAGCTTTCACATAAGGCCAAAAGATGTCGAATCTATTTTTCCACACAGCCGAGCAAGCCGTGCCTTGAGATGGCTTCGTTAGAGGTGCTGGAAGGCACTGTGCACAATTAGCCTCGTCACCACGAACACTGGTGCTTCTCTGTGCAGCGAAGAAATAAGTTGGCGGACGCAGGAGATCTTCTCCAAAACTCCAAGCGGTAGCAGTAGCAGTGGCAGTGGTACTATCATCAGTGGCAGTAGCAGTAGTACTCGTAGTGGCGTGCGTAGCGGAAGCGGTAGCGCAGGGGTTAAGGGTGGTGGTAGTGGCAGTGGCAGCGGTAGTCGTCGTTGTCGTAGGAGTATTTCTAATTTGGTTGCGGTGCAGCTGTAGTTGTTGCTGTTGTAGCTGGACCTGTAGGACTTTCTGGTTGTGGTTGTTGGTGCAGCGGCTGCTGCTGGAGCTGCTACCGGTGCCGATGCATCCGCGGCCACGACTCCTGTGTGCCATGGTATACTACAATTCATTCGAAATTCTTCGTGCTGCTGCTAGGCTAGCACTCATACTGACAGGTTTGGGTTTAGGGTCCCTCATTAGTAGCACTCTTATCATCCTTAATCCCTAAACCCTAAACCTAAAACCCTACTGCATTTAAAAAAAACCCTAACCCCTAAAAAAGAAACCCCAGGGTTCTTTATCATTCTTGCCGTTGGCTCTGGCTCACAGCGGGTTTGGAGCGTAGGAGCTCTTGGGATCCGCATTTTTCATGCCCGGGCACAGTTGGGGAGAGCAGTATTCAGGGCACCATCGGTTTAGGGTTTAGGGTTTAGGATCATTTGTGGTGTCAGGGACTGCGACTTCTTTGGTTTCGGATTTAGCTTTTCGGGTATCGCAGGGCTGTGGTTGCTGCTGCCACCAGATAGATGTTGTGTCAAAGAGAAGCCTGGGTAGGCAGCAATCCTATTCCCCAGTGTTCCTTGATATAACTTAACCGGCATAACCATAACAAAAACGTGATAGACTAGAGTCCTAGAAGCCATCAGACACACAGGCAGAAGTATCAACAAACCACCGCGACAGCCACGTGTTTTCGAATCGAGGGGCCTGAGCCCTCCGAGCCTTTTCTTGCTGCAGCCGATGTCTCAGAAAAAGTCAGAATACATGCGCTCAAATCCCGAACCCTGGACTCCAAACCCTAAACCCTAAACTCTAGACCCTAAACCCTAAACCCTAAACTCTAAACCCTAAACCCTAAACCCTAAACTCTGAACCCTAAACTCCAAACCCTAAACCCTAAACCCTAAACCCTAAACTCTAAACCCTAAACTCCAAACCCCTGTTTCTCAATCCCGGGCTCGGGCTACAGGGGTTTAGGGTTCGATCAGAGGCATCAGCGCATCGTTTTTGTTGCCTGGGGTTGTTATGCGGTTCGAATGCAGGGTTTAGGGCTTAGGGTTTAGGGTTGTCAAGCAGCCATACTTGTAGTGCTGTGAGATGTATACTTACTCTACGTCGCTTGAAGCACACCCGTGGATCTATGCTTCAAAGTCCCAGAATCTGGCAGTTGGGCAGACATCCATCACTACTCGGCAATTCCTCCATACATTGTGAGAGCCCGAATCTGGAAACCTTAGACTATCAACGGTGACATTGTTTGTTGGCTGGTAAGGCGGCAACTCAACTTCACCCGTGCGCGGCCCTCAGGCGGTGGTGGAAGCAGCAGGAGTACTGGTATAAACCGAAAACTGTTATCTGTATTGGTCATCCGACTCTAACAAATTGTCCAGCACCATAACGCGAAATGAGATCACACTATGATATATTATACCCTCGATTTATCCAGGGTCCGGAAGGGTGGCCCTGGGTACCCTTGGGAACAGGGTCCGAAAGGGTCGCCCGACCCATTCGGACCCTACCTCAGATATTAGAAAAGCAAGCCAGTTAAAACCAGATTTAACTTGCCTGCGGTAGTCCTGCGGTATCACCGCACCGAAAGAATGCCTTTTGGGGGGTGGCTGACGGGGGGGGGGCACTAGGCATTGAAATACCTTGTAGACCCCCGGAGTGCCTTGTATGCGGGTCATAGAATATGAGAGAATAGGTGTGCTGGCGAGTGGTACAAAACATTTACCCTGAAAACCTAAACCCTGAAACCTATACACCAAAATCCAGAGACATCCAAAAACCTCAAAATCCAGAATCCTTGGAAGAGCCCCTGAACCCACAAACCCCTAAACCCAGAAATTCTTAACCCTTATGTCGCTTATGTCCCGCAGTAACCCAAAACCCCAAGCGCAGAAACCCTAAACCCAGAAAGCCCTTGAACCTAGATACCCACCAAGCCCCCAAACGCAGAAGCATTGTACCCAAGCGCCTGAACTCAGAAACTGAAAACCCAAAACCACTGAACAGAGGAACCGCTGAACCCAGAAACCCTAAACCCAGAATCCCAGAAACCCTGAGCCCATATCCCAGAAACCTTAAACCCAGATCCCAGAAACCCTGAGCCCATAGCCCAGAAACCCTGGCATGAACAGCCTGGCTTCAAGTGAAATCGGCTTGAAGTTGATCCTGTATGTTCGTCCTTAATCGCTACAGACCTCGCCAGGCTTGCCCGAGTGTGAGTGTCAAAACCCAGAAACCCAAAACCTTGTACTCCAAACCCTTGAACTCAGAAGCTAACAACCCAGAACACCTAAACCCAGAAGTTCTGAACCCCCAAATCTGCGAGTAAGCCCAGAAACCCTGCACGCAGAAACCCTAAACCCAGAAAACTCCTGAAGCCAGAAATGCAGAACCCAGAAACCGCAAACCCCGGAAGCCGCAGACATCATAACCTGAAACCCAAAATCACCGAACCGAGAACCGCTGAACCCAGAAACCGCAAACACCCAAACACAGAAACCCTGTAGAACCCAGAATCCCTAAGCCCTTAAACCAAAACCTTAAACCCCTGGACGCTGCACCGAAGCACAATAGCGGCTTGAAGCAAGTCACATGTCGTGCTCGAATCGAGTGGCCGACATGCCGACGCCACAGGGGCGACGCCGGGCGTCGCAACAGGAATCCACCGAGCGGCGCCCGGCGTCACCCCGCTCCCACAGGTGTGGGCGACGCCGGGCGCCGCTCGGTGGATTCCTGTTGCGACGCCCGGCGTCGCCCCTGTGGCGTCGGCATGTCGGCCACTCGATTCGAGCACGACATGTGACTTGCTTCAAGCCGCTATTGTGCTTCGGTGCAGCGTCCAGGGGTTTAAGGTTTTGGTTTAAGGGCTTAGGGATTCTGGGTTCTACAGGGTTTCTGTGTTTGGGTGTTTGCGGTTTCTGGGTTCAGCGGTTCTCGGTTCGGTGATTTTGGGTTTCAGGTTATGATGTCTGCGGCTTCCGGGGTTTGCGGTTTCTGGGTTCTGCATTTCTGGCTTCAGGAGTTTTCTGGGTTTAGGGTTTCTGCGTGCAGGGTTTCTGGGCTTACTCGCAGATTTGGGGGTTCAGAACTTCTGGGTTTAGGTGTTCTTGGTTGTTAGCTTCTGAGTTCAAGGGTTTGGAGCACAAGGTTTTGGGTTTCTGGGTTTAGGGTTTCTGGGCTATGGGCTCAGGGTTTCTGGGATTCTGGGTTTAGGGTTTCTGGGATATGGGCTCAGGGTTTCTGGGATTCTGGGTTTAGGGTTTCTGCGTTCACCGGTTCCTCTGTTCAGTGGTTTTGGGTTTTCAGTTTCTGAGTTCAGGCGCTTGTGTACAATGCTTCTGCGTTTGGGGGCTTGGTGGGTATCTGGGTTCAAGGGCTTTCTGGGTTTAGGGTTTCTGCGTTTGGGGTTTTGGGTTACTGCGGGACATAAGCGACATAAGGGTTAATAATTTCTGGGTTTCGGGGTTTATGGGTTCAGGGGCTCTTCCAAGGATTCTGGATTTTGAGTTTCTGGATGCTTTTGCGCAGGCCCCGCGAACTTAGGTAGGAACCCGAGCAAACAACCACGGCCTGGGAAGCTTGAGTGTGCGTCTTGTCCCGAGGCCCGCTGCCTGCTACTTCTGTGAACTTCTGCGTGGGTGCTGGAAAAATATATGCGGAAACCATGCTGAATATCATGAAAACTATGTTGAGCCATACCCAAATTCAAGCCGAGCCCGACGCAGACTCAATGACTACCAGCAGGGTCCGAATGGGTGGGTCCGAAAGGGTCCGGCCAGATCTACGGGAGACCCTGGGAACCACCCTTTCGGACCCACCAAACAGGGTCCGAAAGGGTGTCCCCCGGCCGACCCTGCGTATCTCGATCCTATGATATATTTATAGTGTGTATGTGTACATATATATATATACATATACACATATGTTCGTGTATGTATATATATATATATATATATGTATATATACGTACATACTCCAGTGCGTGGTGCTTCTTTCAGGACCCATGGCCGTGGGTGGTGAAGGAGTACGGTTGTTCGCCTCGGAGAGCTATGAGAAGCGGCTCAAGGCTACAGAACAGGGTTTTGGCGCATGCTAGAGTCTAATTTTATAGGGGTCATCGTATGGTCGGAATATCTCGGGACTACGAGGGGATCATCTTGCTAATCATTCCGACATACACTTTGCCTGGTTCATGAGAAGTTGAGTGTGATGTCTTTTGTGTTTAGCTCCGCTGTGTCGAATACTAAGCATCCGACGAGTTCGAAACTATTCCACGATTGTCGGTGAACTGGGTGTAACTAGGACCGATCATGCCAGTCAGTATGTTGACTGGGTGGCCCTGGTCGTGACCGTTGTGGGGTGGTTCTGGTGATGGTTCTATTGCACAAAATTCGGGGACAAATTGGATCCTTGAGAATGCGACGTCTCAATCCGAACTTAGACCCTGCAAGTCAGTTGCACGTAAGTCTGAGCATTCAGCTTATCGAGAACACTAGCAGCATGAGGGTTTGGGGGTCGCGTCGGTTCGTAAGCCTGAAACTCTGAGCCCAAACTTATGAAGTAGCGATGACCGACGGGCCTTGCGGCCGTTGTATCTTGCACACTGTATCCAGGTGGGTCAGTACGTTCAGCGGCCTTGGCAGCAAGCAGTTGCAGAGGTCAGTGGGATACCAGGGCCTTACGAGGCTAGGGCGGGTTGGACTCTCGATCATTCCGGATTGTGATTCAAGGCCCACTGTGGTTGCGACGGAGAACCCGACTGCACGTCCCTTTGCATCTAACCGTCATGCTCAGCTCTGAACGGAACCGAGGTACTGGTCCACCTCCAAAAACAAATGGATCGATGCCGTCGTGAAAGCGGTGGATGCCACTGGTGCAGTCCAGATCAGTGTGAAGCCACGTGCCTGGCTGAACCAGCAGGAGCAGTCCACCAAAATTCGGAGTATAGTGCCGCTACTGCAGCTTGGATTCTCGAGAAATTTGTTTTGTGCCGTTGTTCCAGTTTCAACCCACCAGCATGATGCTTGCACAGCATCTCCCCTACGCTACAAGCGCTGCTAAGGCCCCCAAAATCCGCAGAGCAGCACGGCGAGAGTAAGACGACAGAGTTTATCGCCGAATCCTCGCAGCGTCCCGAGAACGCCAAGTACACGAATGGCTTCGGCATCCATGGTGTGACGCATCTCGGTTGACAATTGGATAGTGGCTTATGTGGTGTGAATGGCAGTGGAGGAGTGCAGCATGTAGGGCTTTAGCGTTCAGAGACTTCCTTGCTGAGAGTATAGGCAAGCAACACCGAAGTGTTGAATCTGCAGATGCAGGTGCATCTTAACCACAGCTCCTGCATTGAGCCTAAATCTGCAGACATACCCATGATCCAAGCTGAGCAGATTCCCCAACAGAAAAGCTAGCTGCAGCCAGTCGGCCCCAGTTCATGATGAGTAATTACTCCGTCACCATAACGGGGCATAACTTCCTGACTCATTTGAGTGTTGCTGCAGCCTCGAACCTCAGGGCGAACAACCTGAAACATCCTCGATAGCGGTACATGCCCCAAACCATGCCGCCTGATCCTCAGAGTCAGGGTTGTGATAGACTCTGGCTTAAAGATTCTACAGGGTTTAAAAAGTTTAGGGTTTGTAAGGAACTTCAAAGGAAAACCGTTCGCTCAAGCTCCAGGAACGGCACCAAGCCACCGGCCGCTGGCGCAGCTGCAGACGCCGCCCAGCGTAGCGACCGATCCAAAGCGATGCAGCCTTGACTGCACCCAAGTTACTGGTTGCTATGTGAAGTGTTGTTGTTCTGCTGGGTTTATGCTGGTATGGTTGATTCATGATTTTGCTACTGCTGGTGCTACCGCTACTGCTATTGCTACTGTTACTCCTACTACTGCCACTACTACTTCTTCTGCTTCTTCTTCTACTGCTACGACTCCTTCGACTACGGCTACAACTACGACTACTACTACCACTACTACCACTACTACCACTACTACCACTACTACCACTTCTACCACTTCTACCACCTACTACTACTACTACTACTACTACTACTACTACCACTACTACCACTACTACCACTACTACCACTACTACTACCACTACTACTACTACTACTACCACTACTACTACTACTACTACTACTACTACTACTACTACTACTACTACTACTACTACTATTACTACTACTACTACTACTACTACTACTACTACTACTACTACTACTACTACTACTACTACTACTACTACTACTACTACTATAACTACTACTACTACTACTACTACTACTACTACTACTACTACTACTACTACTACTACTACTACTACTACTACTACTACTACTACTACGACTACGACTACGACTACGACTACGACTACGACTACGACTACGACTACGACTACTACGACGACTACTGGTACTACTACTAATAATAATACTTCTTTTTTACTAATGCTACCATCACTACTCCTGTTTCTGCTGCTGCTTTTGCTCGTACTACGACGACGACTACTCGAGACCAACCCCTTCCCCCGCCCTAGGCCTCAATGCCACTCCGAAGCTCTACCATAACACCTAGAAAACTGGTAAGCCGAGCGCTGATCAAGCCCAGGTATTCTGTGTTCTCCGAATGGGACTCCCAGCGCCAGGGCATCACCAAGAACTCAGGTCCTGTGGTGCCTGGAAGGACATAGCCGCTGAGTTCAGAGTTTCTACCTGACACCAAAAGGTCTGTGTTGATGGTCTTGAGGTTCGAGGTTGGGAAGCTACGCATCCTTACGACGAGCACCACAGAATCTCCTCCCCACTACACTATACTGCTGTCTTCTCTTAGGGTCTCTATCGGTGGTTTACACCCAAAGTCTTCAACTTCGAGCTCCATTACTTCCCGTCACTTGTGCAACTTTCGCAAAAGACTGGCTGGCGAAGTATGAGGGGAGGCGTTGCTACTTGTGCTTCCACTCCGAATGGTCGTCAGCCGCAAAGGTCTGCTGGAATCCTTAGTGTTACGCTGCCTGATGACATTTCGCAGTGATTCACTGCCTCAGCTACCCAGTGGAGGTGGTGATGATGATGATGATGGCGATTGTGATGATGACGATGGTGATGATGCTGCCGCTGGTGAATAAGAAGAAGGTGATGATAACGAGAAGGGGATGCTGCCGTTGTTCGTTTCGCTGATGATGCCATCGTGTGTGTGTGTGTGATCTGGATCACGGTGACAACGGTGATGGTATCGGTGGTAATCGCAAACCCAAAAGGTCCAAAGTATCTATATATATATATATATATATATATATAGTAGAATGCAGGGTTTCTTCATTACTATCATGATTTGGGGAAGTATCCCCCCACAACAGTACCTAGGACCCTTTGGGAAAGTGAGTCATGGTGGTCTCGGCAGACTGGCCTTGATCGTGGCGTCCTTGCGGCCTCCAGGATTCCTCCATCAGGGCTTCGGCAAGAGCTGAAGGTCTTCAAGGAGCACTTCGGAAAGGGGAGGGAAGGGCAGGGAGGGAGGGCAGCCATGACCCGATGCCCCCAGCTACTTGCTCATTTTTGTTTGCGGTCCTGCGTGCAACCAATACATACCGGGGTAGAAAAAACAGTAGATCGTTGACCAGAGTGAAGCCATCCAGAGCTTGTCAGTGTACGTTTTGCTTTCAGCATGTCCCTCACAATGTTTTGCAGCCTCGCGCTGACACTTACATAGGCTTTAGGTGTGCAGCATGTCGAAGGAAGGCAAAACTGCTTGAGTCGTAAGAAAGTCATGAAGGCTCTTCTGGGTGCCAGACTCGCTGACTCGGATGCCCAGCCCGAAATCCCAAACGATCATGAAAGTACATGTCACATCCTGTTCCAAGCTGTTATAGTTTATTAGATAGTATATTCTAGTATGATATAGTGTATTGTAGTATGTTATAGTATATTATAGTATGTTATTAAAGCGGCTTTCTCGACTCTTGTCAGATTCCTTGTTTTGCCAGGAGAGCCTCGTGCATGAGAGCTCTGAACTGTGCGATACGCGAATTCACACTGCAGTATCCCAACGTACTATGGCCCATGGTGTAGATCGCGTGCGAAGCTGCGGCCGAGGGGTCGGATAATGTAGTCTAAGCTCAAGTTTAGGGCTTAGCTGAAACTTGTGTGTTATTTCCAAAAATACGCAATCATAAGCACACTTTTTGTATACATACTTGGTCCCGGGGCTATCTCGTATCACCTGGGTGTTTTATGCATCTGCAAGGCGTCTACTTTGGGAACGCAATGTAGAGGATACATAATCTTACCAAGCTGTGCATCTGCACTTTCATATTCTTCGGCGTCTACAGCACACGCTCGCATCTGTCAGTCTCAGCAGGCTTGCGCGCGCGCTCATCTTCGCACGAGTGTGTGTGTGTGCTTCTGTATCGTAGACCATGTATACATCTTGTGTAAACCGTGCATTGTTGAGAAGCCCTTAGGATAGCTGACGTTTGAACTGCTGCAAATCCCAGCGTCTACAAGGCAAACGCATTGATGATCGTGAAATGCTTCCAAAAGTACTATATACCTTAGCGTCCACAACAAATCCGGCACTTTGGCCTGTTTGCTGCGTGCTTCTGAAACCAGCGTCTACATGGTGTTTAGTTAGTTCTGATGTGTACCTTAACCCTGAAGAACCTACCTTTTTAAGGACTTATATAAGGAAATCATAATAGGGAACCCTAAAAAGGTAGGCTATTCAGGGTTAAGGTAATTCCCCCGCTGATGTGTATTCTACCCAAACCAGCGTCTGCCGGCGGTTACCTGTATTCTCACCGACTGATGTGGGATAACCCCAACGCCGAGTAATATTTATGTATCTATGTATGTATGTATGTAGGTCTCTATCTAACTATCTATCTCTCTCTCTCTATATATATATACTAGCCTGTTGAGTGGCATCCTTGAAAACTTTTTTTTATTGGTGGTTTATCAGTATGGATTTGCCACTTAGTGCTACCTACTACTACATCTGCTACTAGCAGTAGTAGTAGTAGTAGTAGTAGTAGAAGTAGTTAGTAGTAGTACTAGTAGTAGTAGTTAGTAGTAGTACTAGTAGTAAGTAGTAGTAGTAGTAGTAGTAGTAGTAGTAGTAGTAGTAGTAGTAGTAGTAGTAGTAGTAGTAGTAGTAGTAGTAGTACTCTGACATATGGAGTGCATTGGAATACGATTTGTTTTGTACCTGCAACGGCCGCGAGAATAGTGTACTCCCCTAAACCCTAAAACCTAAACCCTAAACCCTAAACTTCAGGGTTTAATCTGAGGGCGTTGGGGCGTAGGGTTTAGGAACTGAGGGTTTGGGATGTTTTGGGGAGTGATCTTACTTGGCGAGGTTGCGTAGTCGTCGGAGTATTAATAAGTAGTAGACTTAGAGTAGTACCTAGCAGGTAGTTGCTTGCTGGGGGTTTGGGGGATTTTCGGGGTTTAGTAGATCATGTGCGTAGCCATTAAAGGCTCTAAAGGGTTTGAGGAGACCTCGCCCTTACAGTTTTGTAGTCGGTCCTTCACCCGAATTTAAACCCTAATTCAAAGGTTCAACTAAAAATATTAACCTCCTGTAGCGCATAGACAGTGTAGGTTTGGGCTATCATTCGATGTATAGTTTAAATTAGGAGGAATACTCCTAAATTCTGAAACAATTACGTTTCTAGAGTCTTCGGTATTACTTATTAAGTAATAAGCTTGGGGAGATTCAAGCAAGAGAGTGTTCAGCATGTCGAGTCCTAGGGTTCAGGGTGTAGGTTGTGCAGGGCTTTGGTGTGTAGGATTTGTCCACGGCTAACTCCAACATCAATGACCAAACCCTAAACCCTAAACCCAACTCGAAACCCTAAACCATAAACCTTTCTATCAAATTATGATGGGTCTAGGGTATCAGGATTGGTTTAAGTGTATTGGGTCACAAAAATGGAATACAGTGAACCTTAAGCCCTTAATTATGCCTAAAACCTGTATGCTAAAGTAGGTTTTAAGCAGGTACTATAAATGAAACTCCCAAGACTAGTTTTATGCCCCGAGTCCCAAGTGGTAATTTGATCCAGCCCTGAATCCTCAATCAATATCAACCTGCTATTAGAGCTAAGGCCAATCCCAAACCCTGATTCTATCCTTTAGGTTTCAGGTCTTAGGCTTAGGAACAGGGAATGAAGTTAGATTGTTTTTTGGATTT